CAAAATAACACATATGTATTTGCAATTTTACAGCTAAGAAAATGAATTCACCGAAAAGAGACTCTTCGCAAATCTACGTATTTTGTTTTCATTAATGCCTGGATGGGGATTATCCATGGACTAAACTCAGTAATCCTCAAACCCACTTAATATTTGACTTATCTCTATTATTAATCTCCCTTATTGCTCATTATAACCGATGATACTCTTAATTGTAATAGACTGAATTATGTGTCAGACTGTGCACAGGAGTGAAAAGACAGAAATATGTTGGCCCGATAAGAAGATTCTAGAAGATCTGAATTTTGCAGATGATTTTATATTTAATGGCACGCATACCCGAAGAGTTATAGGCGAGAAGCAACAAACTAGCTGAAGAGGTTGGCAGCGAAGACAGAATTTCAGGTGAACATCTAGAAGATGCAGGTGATGAAGATAACCAACCAACAGTGACAACAAACAGCACCAGTCACCATCAGTGGGAGAGTTCTGACAGAGGCTACTTCTTTCACTTGTCTAGGAAGCATCGTTTCGACTACAGGTGAAAAGGATGAAAATGTCAAGGTCAGAATTGGAAAGGCAAGACACGCCTTTATCACTCTGAAATCAGCTTGGAAATCTTCTGCATTCAGAATAAAGAACAAGATTAAAATTTTCAACACAAATATGAAGTGAGTTAGTTCTTTTATATGGGTCAGAAACTTGGCGTATGCATCACGAAAAGCATTTCCAACAGGCCAGTGCAGACTTTTATCAACAGTTCCTTTCGCTTCATTTTGTGCGTCGGTGGCACAGTGGTTAGGACTCTCGCCGACCATGCACGTGGTCCGGGGTTCGAGCCCGCACCGACGCACATCTGATATCTATGGTCGGCCTGCAAAATTTGGGCTACCGATATCCATGCTGAAAATTCCATACTTGTACCGAAAATACAGTGTGGAATCAAGCTGTAAATCAAAAATCAAAATCAAAAATTGCCAAAAGAGTCGGCAACAAGGAACTCTAGAAACAAACTAACCAATACACGATCCCTCAACAAATACGTGGGCGATAATGGAGATGGATCAGGCATACATCGAGGAGGCCTTCAAATGACAGCGAGTGTAATGCAAGCCATCGTTCAAGTAGAATTCAAATGGGAAGCGATGATTGGGTAGTCCGAGAGTGAATATGAGGAAATCGTGCGAAGAAAAGACGAGAGATTATGGGCGATTGTGGACCGAGCTGAAGAGGATAGCAGGAAATAGATCACAGTGGAGATGTGTTGTTGAAGCCTCTTGTTCTGCTCGAAACCCAATAAATAGTAATCACTATAACGAGAGATTTTGTTAATGCAGACAATATTAGGAGCTATTTTTTAAAATTTCTTTTTCAAGTATTGGTTTGTAGGGATTTGGTTGATTGGTTACAGGATTTCATCATGAGCTGACATTGGTTAGAGAACCATTGGAAAACCCGGGAGTACTGGATAGCTGTTTCGTCATAGTTTGGGACTCTTCAGCAGTACGCACTCGCTGTGGTTCGAACCCAGGACCTTCTGGTTACAAGGCGAGGTCGTATACCATTAAGCCACTGGAACTCGATCCTATGGCCCATAAAATCCAGTGGGAAGTCGTGACTACCAGGGTGCAACTGGTCGAGTGTGAGGACAAACACTCGCTGAAGACATTGGCTAGCTGTCGCGCTATATCGTGAATTGGCTGAAGTTAGAATTCATGGACTGGCTGGCCGCTGGATCGGGTCCCAGTGGCTCAATGGTATACGAGCTCGTCTTGTAACCAGAAGATCCTGGGTTCGAACATTTGTGGTGGGCGTGTACTGTTGAAGAGTCCAAAACTAGGACGAAACAGCTGTCCAGTACGCCCGGGTTTTCCAACGGTTCTCTAACCAATGTCAGCTCATGATGAAATCCTGTAACAAATTTCTTTTTGCTGTATTCGACAGAGTAAACGTGCACAAAAATGACTGTATGTAATTGCCATTAAACTAATGAATAAATGAATTCACCGAAAACAGCCTCTTCATTCAAGTATTTATTCTTATGTTCATGTCTAGATGGGCATAATTCACGTATTTTCATTTGAAATCAAGACACGTAATACAACAGACTTCCAGGCATGAACCTAAACTTACTGGCTTATTAACTCATAAACAGCAAAATAAAGAGAATTTTAGAAACAGAGCATATTGGTATGTATCTCTTACGGACAGAAAACATAACATTTCCATCTTACTCTGATTGTTTATACGCATCTGTATATCTAAATACCGAATCACTTAATCATTCCGTTAATTGTTTAATAGAATGTAGTCATTACCTAAAATGTTCATTGTGATTGATTCTTTGAAAGCATCTACGAGTTTAGTGACAGATTATGCAACTCCAAGCCTTTTGAAAACAAACAGTTTCTATGATGTTTCTGAGGGTAGGCGAAAATTTAGCGTGAAATAAGTGATATCATTAGGAGCACTCTCTCACAGTTTTAAACCTACGTGTTTCAGGTCATAAAAATACTCTACTAGTGAAATACCATAAAACTTCTGTAACCTGCAGTCAAAGAATTACTACATTTACATATATTTCATATATTAGGCCACTTACATTCGAATAATCAAGATACACGTTTAATATTTGCCCATGCGGGTGGCTAGAATAGTTGAGGTGTCTCAAAATAGCACTTCAGATACACTAATAATTAGCCTCACAATGAATGATCTACCTCAGGTGGTTCAATGGTAGAATCCTAACCATCCTACCAATTTTGTCTGCTAGCCATACAACTAATCCGGGTTCGATTCTCGGCCAACCCATTCCTAAACACTGCTTAGTTTACCGGTCGATAGTAAGCTCTGGAAAGAGGACACGGTGGGCATGTGTGGAGTCCTCAAAAATCAACTTATCCAATTTTTACTACTATGTAAGAAATGAACATATTGTACATCACTTTGTTTTAACCATAAACTCTGTACTTTGAACTTTACCTCGGGTTTTGAATAAATATATAGTTCTGCCTTCGACTATCCGTCTTCTCCACCGTCTCAACTGCCGTCGATAAATTTTAATCGCCTGCTTTCTACCTCAAATTTTTGCAGGAGCACCGTAGTTTCTCCCTACGTACTTTGGTCGACCTCCGGCAACGTCAACACTGGAGAATTAGTACTGGAGCAGTCTTCTCGCAGCGCCTCTGGAGTCTATTACGTTTATTGTGGATTTTGGATCTTTGTAAACCCAAGTAACGAAACTTGTATATATTCTTCCCGTAACTAAACTGATTTGGTATTTTATTTTCTATTTGAATTTGGGTAACTAAGCTAACAGAGTAAAAGGTCCACCACGCATGAAGTTGGCAACCCAGCCCTGTGAAATAAAACCACCACTAATCTCACGGAACGCGAAAGAATGAAAAAAGTAAATGATTTAAACAGGTTATCAGAGTTAACAGAGACTCCATCTTTTATTAAGCTTTCTTTTAGACTATTTTTATCCATCATTAGTATGTCTCAGACGACTGTTCCATTCATTTTATGTTTTATGTTTTTGGTTCGTTAACAGTCAGTGGCGAAATTTGTCAAGGAAATCATCTTTTTTTACCATGTGTTAAACTACTTTTCAGAAATGTTTTGTAGTCTATTCATTTTACTTTTATTCTATGTAATTATTTTCAAATCAGTAGACCGGAAGTGTTGTACGTAGTAATGTAAAAATATTAAAAAGTACTCTCCCTTCTATTCATTGCACTAAGTTGTTTTTTTTTACAAGATTATTATACTTTATCATTCAGTTCTCTTTTTATATTTATACTATATTATTATCTTTCAAACCACTGAAATTATGGAAATATTCATCCATTTTCATTTAACTTAACTTTTGTATGTTTTTCTGAAGTACGACATGGTACATTTTAGTCAGTTCTTCAATAAAAAGAGTCACTGGGTATCATTTTCTGTTAACTGTGTGTCTCCCGTTGATTGGATATATTGAAGCAAAATGTTCGATATCCGTTAACATGTTCGGAGTGCACGTACTGAGAGTCGACATTTCAACTGAGATTGAACATTCTGGTCCAACACAAAAAATCAAAGGGAAATACACAGTTCTATAGTTAGCTTGTAAGGATAAGTTTTGTTTCCACGAGTTGACCACGGATTGATATCAGTTAGAGAGCCATTGAAAACCAGCTGAGAGTACTGGACAGCTGTTTCGTCAGCCTAGTTTGGGAATCATCGGCAGTAAGCACCGACTGGGTTCGAACCAAGGACCTTCCGGTTACAAGGCTAGTGTCTTTTTACAGGAGAGAGTTTCCTGGAGTTCTAGTGAGAAGTCGTGACTAATGAGGTCCATTTAGTCAAGTGTAAGGATGGATGCCCCACCGACGACATTAGTTGGTGGTCGCAATAAATCACGAATTGGTAGAAGTTACAATTCATGGGCTGGCTGGTCACTGAATTGGGTTGCAGTGGCTGAATGACATACGAGCTTGCATTGTAACCACCAAAAGGTCCTGGGTTCAAACTCTGGTGGTGGGTGCGAACTGCCAGTGATTCCCCAACTAGGCTGACGGAACAGCTGTCCAGTAATTCCTGATGGTTTTCAATGGTTCTCTAACCGATAGCAATCCGTGATCAACTCGTAAATACACAGTTAACTTAGACAAATCGTAATTTATCCCCTCTTGCAAAAAAAGTGACAAGGCACTCCAGGCCCTCAAGTGGGATTGAAATTAGAAACATTCAGTTGTACATTCGACGGTGATATGGAAGAGACTGTGTGAGGATAAGATGAAAACTTATGGTCACTCATCGGGCCAGTTAGAAGGGATAACAAAGAAGGAAGTTTAATGGAGACATGCTACTTAAGGCCTTTATTCCGTTTGCAACCCGGGGTAGTAATGAGAATGATGCAACACATATAATTAGCATCTATTCTCACTGTGTTTTGCAGTGTGAAAACCGCAAAATTTTCAGTGGCAAGATTATTTTTCAAATTAAAAGTCAGATAATTCAATGAAAATGTTGTATTTAAACTTAACAAAAAAGAAGAAAACAAAACAAAGGATGTATTAAACAATTTTGTCATTCAGAGATTTTATCCCTATGTATATGCATACGTATACACATATGTATATGTCTATGATGTGCTTTGATTAGAAGTTGTAGACATTACTCACAATACACTTTAACTTTTTATACTGTTAATAAGGTCTTGTTTATTTGGTTCAGTTCTCATATAAATTTCACAACTTTGTCTTTAAAATATATTTTTCAGTGTACAAAGTGAAATAAGAAATAACAGATTTCATTGTTTTGTCTGTTCATATACACAATAATTTATATATGTTGCCTTTATATTTGGTCAATAATGAGCACTGTAGTTAAACAACTCATGATTTGTCCAATGAATGAATTACAAAATGATAGAATGACTGAATATAGAATATTGCTTATTATACAAGAAATAGGAAATTCATTGTTTCAACAATTAAAAAAAGAAAGGTTAAACGAAATTTTTTTCTAATTATTCAATTGAACCCTGTAACCTCAATAAAACAAAAAAAGTTTATTGTGCGCTCGATTTAAAAAATAAGATGTTTGTTTTTGTTTTTATTAATATTCTGTTAAATGCATTCTGAAAAGAAGAAGGTAGAAAAACAAAACTTTAAATACATACGAAAAATTTGTTTATTTGTGAGTACATTTCAAAAAGAAAACTGGATAAATTTGTTGTTATGTTTGTTTAAATATACATACATAAGTGTTGTCTTAAGTAGGATTTATGCATATTCATAAATTTCGCTGAGTGAATGACAGAATGAGAAATGAGATATTTCCTACTAATGCCTTTAATAATTATGAATTGAAATTTCCTACTATGCTTGTTGTATTTTGTAAGTGTACTTTTGAAGGATTTACAGATAAGTTTACAAGAAATATCAGCTTGCTTGTTTTCCTCTCAATGATAACTTATACTCACAAGATTTCCGTTACTTGTTAGTGAAAAAAAATTGAAGAAAGAAAATTTTGAAGAATAATCAAGTACGGAGGTAATGAGGTTGAAAATGCTGTCGGAAATCTTTACAGTCTGAATTTTCATTATGAACAAAATCACCAAACGGGGCTGTATAATGATTTGTAAGTGTACTTGAAGAGACTGGACTTTGACTGACAGCTGAATATTGATCAAAGGATACATCGCTTACATTTGAAGGAGGTTGGGGTACATTAAGCATAATACCTGGAAATGGTGCAGGTTGATAAGTTGGTTGTTGTATAGAATTGTCGTTAAAAACTTGTGGATTTAAATTCTTTTCACTTGAACCTATAAAATAGGCAGGAAATTGATTAAAATTATTCATTGTCTGTTGAATATCACTTTGATTTGATGGTGGTGTTATACTATGAGGATTAGGTGGACATGGTAAAAGACAGTGAGATGGATGAGAGGAATTCGGCATACAATTACCATTCATGATTGGTCCAGAACTTGCTTTACTATTTACACGACTTGAATCATCACTAATATTTAAAAGTAATCTAGGATCACTTGTCATTGATGTATTTTGTGAGAAATTGACAGCTTGATTAAAATGTGATGGATTCACTTGAATATTTGGATAAGGATTATTTAATTCTGATCCAGTTTGGGTTTGATTATACTGGTTATCATTGGAAGGATATACAGATTGAACTCCCATGAAAGAATAGTTTGGTTTCCCTGTATTTTGACTATTTGATGATTGTCTAGAGGATGCATGTAAGCTGGATGACTTTTTCCCATTTGGTATAACATGATATGCTTCAGGAGTGAGTTCAGCTGTTCTCAGTATACATCTTTCATTACTAGAAGATATTAAATGATCTGGTGCACGTTTTCGACGAAATACAAACATATAGGCAATTAGCCCAAGAACAGCAAGTAAAATACTGAATGGTACTAAGAAGTATATGAGAACACGTCGACCTTTCAGAAATGCTGATTCTATCAATAGAAAAATCACAAAAACGAAACATTGATTTAACATTTTTGATTAGCGGAAAACTTCATTTAGTTCCCATTAATAAAAAGCAGTGCTAATTAGGTTGCATAACTAAAAGCTAATAAATCTAGAAACTCATTCGAAAGTAACACGGATTTTTAATATGCAGCTGAAATCTGTTTTGTTCACCGTAAAAAGTAAGATTCTGACTTTCAACACCACTGACCCGCCATAAAAGATTAGTAACAAGGAACTCTGACGTTCAGTGAACGAACCAAGAACCTACTGTCTGATAAATATGTGGAAAGAAATGAAGATGTGTCAGACACATTCTGAAAAGACCGTTGAATGACATTACGTGTAAAGTAGTCCCTAGACTGGAGGCCGAATGGGAAACGACGGATGACGTGGAGAACATTCTGTGAAAAGGAGATCAGATCCTAGGGACAATCATGTAGCCAGATTAATAGGACTGTAGAAAACAGGATACATTGGAGATTCACTGATCAAGGCCTATGTTCTCTTTGGAAATCAAGGGAATAACAATGATATCGTAATAATAATAGTGTGGACGGTATTTTATAATGAAGTGTACCTGTCAATTCCCTACTGCTTGAAAAGTCTATTGCTAAGCAGCCGGTGTCATTTTCACCAGGTTACATTAGTATACGTCCAAATTACTGATTCTTTTGTGTTCATTACTTTTGGCAGAAAGTGCTGTTTAGACATCATCTACATGACTGAAAGTCAGAGTTGAATCTAAGTAGAGTGAGACTCCCTCAAAACAGTAAGACTGAATTTAGACTGTTTTATATCAGTTGGCTATTTCGAAGTAATCATTGCCATGTGCCTTATCTTTAGTGTTGGTCCCAACTAAAATTCTACCACAGTCAAGCTTACAATATAGTTACCATTTTAGGTAACTCACCAGTGTTGTACACTTTAAGATTCTGGTGAGTAAAAGTTAATATATTTGATTCTTTTTGCATGAATTAAGTTACATATCTGCCTATAGATTCCTTGTACATAGTTCTTCTTTTCCCTGATTTAACAATGTATTTTTTGAAAGCATTACTTGACTCGAATATCTTTATGCACTTAGTGAAGCAATTCACGAATTTCACCAGTTCTTTTTTATCTGTTCAACGGTCATATTATCCTTCTGGTGCACAGTAACAGGACATCCAAGGCATGTGTTCACTTTCAAACAGCATCATTTAAAAAAATAGATTAGGCTGGATCTTTCATTTGTTTCATGGGTAGTTTACTACACACCTTAACATTAAAATACTTTTCACTATAAATGCATTACAGTATATAATACAGAGTGGTTGATATGAGCATTTGGGTACAACTTGAACCAACTAGTTGGAAGTGATGTAAACACTGGATGGCCTTGTCATCCTTTCAATGCCAATGCCATCGGTGATGTACCCTTTTTGATTCAGTTCAAATAACTAAACCAGTTCAAACCACTGAATTTCTGCCTAGCTACTTCAATGAACTGGAAACACGTCAAATCAAATTGACAATTTGTAATTTCAATTTCTAAAGTGAAATTTTGTCTCGAATTGTGTAAATTGCAAATGGTTAATTAATTTACAGATTGTGAATTTACTTTTTACTCTGTACTAACAGTTTTAATGGACTTCTTTAAGAATACCATCTTGATTTGAGCAATATCTTTAAATATTTTATAGATGCAGAGGCCATTTGTGTTAAAATGAGCAAATTTTTCTTTTAAGAACACTTGCTGTACGAAGCGAATTCGTGAGACCAACCAATATATCCATTACGGTCTTATGAAGAGGCAGTCATGAGTTTGAACAGCTATGTGGTAGTGTATCTGACTTCACCACCGAGTGGCGCGGGTTGGAATCTCTGATTAGGAAGACAGTTTCTTTGGGTTTACAGACGTGTCTTGTCATCAAAAGTTAATAAACACGAAATCTAGGTTCACAGCTTCCTCCCAATTACCTACAACCATCCAACAATGCGTTTTCATATCCTGGAATCATTCTTCGTGTCAGAAGTACTGAATACTCACAGCCTTTAACAAATACTTTATTATGAAAACATAATGAAGAAACTGTCTACTCAAGTGAACATAGTAGTGACAAGCTTTCAGATTATATAAAAACGGAATATATTACAAGGGGAATAAATATTATTTTTCAACCTACCTTGTACTACATTCACATATATTACAATATATTCTAAACTTTTAACATCTGATAAACTCATTGTCATGACAATATACTTTCCCTCATGTCTTTCTTTTTCTAAAGGTTTTTGAAATCGTAATTTAGTAACAAAAAGTTGTTCTTTTTTCTCGCCTCCAAGATGATTTTGTTTAGCATAATTCGGCTTAGAATGATAATACATTGATCGTTTTCCATCATTATTTTCAGATGATAAAATTTCAGATGCTGATGATGATGATGATGTGTCCATATCATGAATACTTTTTGATCTATCCGTATAGGCTGTTGTTTTTTCGACAATAGCTGGTGAATCAATCCATGAGCCTAATATCACATAGACTTCATTCTGTTCTGTTATTCTAGCATTAGGCAATGGGATTTTTGTTGCACCTGATTGTTCATACATCATTTCTTCGCCTGGTTCAACTCGTTTCAACCACTAAAGTAAAGAAGGAAAAATTTGATAGAAGGATAAAAGTTTAGGTAAAATATGCCTAATAATATGCATATAAAGATCCGTCTAAATTTTTGTTAAGAATAATTGAATTTTCAACTTTAAATACCGTATTATTGTGAAGGTTACTCAAGCGAATATAAGTCAACAGTATTTATTTTTATCAGGACTAAATATTTTAGTATGAGTTCACACTTACCTTAATTATGCATTTACCATGTGACATTGAATACTTATTAGGTATAACTATTCCATCAGAGGACTTATATGTAAGGACCGTATTTAGTCGTGTATTAAGGTAAACTGCTTCAGGTTAATTAGTAATTCGGAATTATCAGCAGCTATAAATCAAGATAAACTGAAGCATAAAATCTTAAATCTTACTAGACGCCTGGCGTCGATTTGTTGTGCGCTCACTGTAGGATACCATCTAAACATGATAGGTTAGAGTTTTTCCACCCCTTTGCGTTCGGAGTAGAAAATAGGGTATCAAGCTGTGAAGTTCTACTAGAGGTGCCATTTTTTCTTATGGGATGAGACTGCTAGTCTCACGCCCATTCCTCCTCCTTTTCTGGACTTATTACCAGTTAAATGAAGCTTAGCAGTGAGCTAACGGCCGGGAATCGAACTCGGAACATATGTGTGGTTGGTGGGCATACTACCTTTGAACCATAGACTCACCATAAGAGACATTATCGAGTTCTGTATGGGAATAGCGCTGTTATACCAAGATGAAACTGATCAATTTTCAAGTACTGGTTTTGAAGGGAATTTTTTTGATTGGTTGGAGGATTTCATCATGAGCTGACATCGCTTAGAGGATGCGTAGTTCTGAGGAGCTCGAAACTAGGACGAAACAGCTGTCCAGAGCCCTCAGTTGGTATTCCAATGCTTCTGTAGCTGATATCAGCTCATGATGAAATCCTCCAAATGATCGGTTTTCCTCGAATAACTTCAGGGATGAAATACATTATCATTATTATTGTTCCCTTGGGTTGCTAGTGGAAAATGGGGCTTCAACTTCACGTCTCCACTTGCTTCTGTCTTCCTTCTGCTGTACTTTTCGCCTCCATCCATGTTGATCCATACTGTTTCAACTCCTCTTCACACGATCTCCTTCATGTCACGCTTGCACCGACGTCCCACTCGACGCTTCCCTTTCGGCCTAGTTCCACTCGAGCAATGGCCTGACGCGCGCGCCATCTCACCCAGCAGCCTCCTCAGCGAGTGAGTGTCCAATCCATCTCCACTTTCTTCTGCATATTTGTTGGTTGGCGATTGGTTCTTGTTTTGTTTGTTCCAAGCCATAGTTTCTTGTTGGTGATTCTTTCTGGCCCGGCCATCTGATCTTCAGTATAGATCCGGCGAAGACAGTTAGTTGTTGATAAAGGTCTGCAACAGGCTGCTGAAAGTATTCTTTGTGACCCGCCCACCAAGTTTCTGATCCGTATAGAAGAACTGACTTACTTGACGTTTATATTGAAAATCCGACTGAGTTTTGTTGTTGATGCTGAGTGACGAAGATTTCCAGATTGGTTTCAGGTTGATGAATGTGTTTCTCGCTCGCCTTCCCAATTCTCGCTCGATTTGACATCCTCGTCCTTTCCGACTGCCTGTAGTTGAGACTACTAGCTTGCTAGTTTTCTAGCCGGTTCCAAGCCCGCTTAAAGAGGGAGGGTTGGGGTGTGGTGCTAGCAACTCCACCCCCAAAACTTAACCAAACCGTTACAGAAACTTCAATGCACCAATATATTAAAAATTCTAAAAATATAAACAGTAACCTTATTTTTCGCTAGAATCGGGGAAGTGAAATGACGCAAGCTGGTGAAAGCCTTCGGGAAGCCAGTCAGCCGATGTGCCTTCTTTCGATGAAAGCAAAAATAAAGAATGGGTACCTGGAAGGTTCGTACAATGTACGAAACTGGAAAGGCTGCCCAGGTAGCCGCAGAAATGAGGAGATGCGATACATAGAAAGGTTAAATTGTTAACTAGCAAAATATTTATGAAAATAAGTTGAATGATTTGTCGTCTTGTTTACAATAGAAATTATTTCCTCTGATTATTCCTCTTTGTATACATTCCATTGTGTATTTCTAAGACAACCTATCCGTAATTAATTCCTTTTATTTATATCTGTGAGAAACAGTATGCATATATATATAAATGCCCTTAGGCATCTTCGTATATACAAATATATGCTAAGTGACATTTACTATAAGTGACACGTGTCTGTAAATAAGTAATCTTAGATAAAAATGAATAAATAAGTGTGCTGTTATTATTATTATTATTAGTCACCGTTTAGTACACGTCGATTCGCGTTAAACGCATGCATTATACGCTTTCTAAGCCTACAATCTCCCATTATTGTTAGAACAAAACTTTTAGAAATGCATTTCAAAAAATAAAGAGGCTTAAAGTCTACATTAACTCAAATGTTATCACTTCAGTATGTCAACGATAGAGGTAATCCCAATTTGTTTGAATGGTGGCAATAACCTCTTCGTTTTTTGCAAAATAAACAAAAATATATGTAAAAGATTCATATGATTAGGAAGACATATATAAGTGAAGACTGCGAAAAAAAATAGGGATTGTGAAAATATTTCTAATCAAACAGACTAAACTCCTCTTCAAAATACGTACTGATTTTACAAGAGTACAAATGCATTTAAGCTGACGAAAAAGCTGAACAATTTTGTAGATAGTGTTCCTCTCGCCTTCTCTCCCCTTTTCTCTTAATCGATATTATTATTTCGGCTTTCTACTCAAATTCTGCATAACTGAGATTTCGTCTGGTGGTTATGAGCTAAAGATACTGAAGATTACTTTGATGGAAATAAAGAAAGCTAGGCCCAAATATATGATGCTCACTAAAGACTGATTACAGGATTAAGTTACCTGGAGTTCTAGAGAAAAATCGTGACCAGTAGGTTCCACCAAGTCAAATGTGAAGACGAATACTAGCTGATGACATTGCCTGACATTGGCGCTAATAATCGCAGATTGACAGAAGTTAGAATTCACAGGTCGGTCAATGAATTCCGTCCTAGAGGCTGAATGGTCAATGATCTCGCCTCGTAAAACGAAAGTCCTAGATTCGATTCCCAGTAAGATAATGGTTGCGTACAGCTGAAGAGTCTCAAAATAGAGTGAAATGGATGTCTAGTAGTTACTGGCATTCAGTGGTTTTCTAAATGATCAAACTTGAAAGGTAGATCGGTTATTCATTTCAATGTACCAGGAATTTTTCGAAATGGCATACAGAAAACTATCTCTTGTTAAAAGTGTTATTTTAGCCTTTGCTTATTTAGTTTGAATAAGATAAAACACTATCATCTGACATTCATTACCAAATTTCTAAGGTTTAAATGAATCTAAAATCAAAGCAGCCCAAGGTACCAACAGTTTCTAAAATGACGTTATTCTCAAAAATTCAGTTCCTCGGGAACAACATCAGTGAGATACTAACACAACACCTTAGAAATGCGGTAAAAAAAGAGCATTCAGTGCTGCTGAATTACTTTGTGTCTTCAAAATCACCCCTATTTTGCATTCAGGAGTAAAAGATTAACTGCCTATTTTCGCCTCTTTCATGTATATCTACCAATTTAACTGCTCCTGTGGAGCCAGTTACATAGAACATACAATTAGGCGTGTTTCTCGTCGGATTTGCGAACATTAGCCTGCAAGGGGATTAAGTAAAGGACAAACAAAATCTATTCATAGCGCCATTCTATCTCATCTTGTGGATACAGAACACATGATTGATGTTAACCAGGCTTTCAGAGTCATTTACCGCATACCAACAAATCTTAATTTCGCCTTAAGAGTTCGATCACTAAATATTGCTGAGGCTGTCGGGATCCACCTTAAGAAGCCTAACTTATGTGTCTAGAAGAAGCTAGTTCAGACATTATCCTCATCTCGGCTATCTAGGTTTGAATGATCCTCAATTTTATGGAATTTTCCTAATTTTAGTTGAATTTTTATTTGTTATTATATTATTATTATTTTTATTATTATAATCTAAGCATCTTCAATGAACTGTAATTCCATCGATCTTACTTTACAAATCGATATTATTTAAAAAACACTAATATTGTTATTGACTACTATTCTAGAATATTCTATGTATATAAACATATGTATAATTGTAGAGCCAGAAGAGGGAATTATCGGAAAGGATACTCTTTGCTCAATTATTTTGTTTTTATTGATGTCTGAATGGATATATTCGCTATATTAAAGTTTAACTTTTGCTAATATCGAGGACTAATCCATTGGTTGAGTATTTATGGGATGATTACTGCGTGGTTAATATATAATGGTTATTTCCCATCAAAGATTGAACGCTTAAGAGATGCCACAAACTGATATTGGTTAGAGAACCATTGAATACCAAAGAGTACTGGGAAACTGTTTTGTACTAATTTGAGACTCTACAAAAGTACGCACCCATGAACTCACTGGAGTTAGGATCCGGTTACTAGACGCACCATGTACTAAATGTAGTATGTATGAACTGTAACAGACATTAGATCAGCCAAAATGGGCGTCCCCTTCGAATCAGAATCCAGGAACATAAATCAGCTGTGAAAAGACATGATATATATATATATATATATATATATATATATATATTCTTTCATATCACTTCATGTAGGTAATTATGGACATCAGTTTGATGACTGAGATAATGTCAAAATTTTAAATAGAGGAAACACAAAAAGTGCCAGGGAATTCCTAGAAGCCTGGTTCTCAACATTACTATAGACCAAATTTACCAGCTAATAAAAAGTGAATCTCATGACAAGAAACCTTGAAATTCAAGTCACTAAAAAATGATCACTACAGGTGTAAATTGACTACCAGTCGCGAAGATGGTTACCAGGAGACGCAAACCTATCATTTTATGCTAAAACTTGCGCTGAAGATGTTGTCCAGAAGGGGGGTGGGCGACGAAAGCTTCGCAATTAAACCAATCAGCTCAGAGAACACAACTTATTACAAATCATTCATCTGAGGTACAAATCTTCTTTATTATTCCAAATCTATTCGAATGCTAATATTTGAAGAAATATACAATAGCTAGATTATGCAACTGGGTAAATGCATAAGATTATTTCACAGTATAACCACAATAAAAGTTCCTACCTGTATAACTGGTTCATCGCATGCACATTTGATTCTTGCTATAACTGTTGCACTGTCATCATTTTTAAAGGTATAATTCTGTACAGGACCAATGATTTTTGGTGTAGCTGATGGTGGTTCTGTAATTTGATAAGAAGAAAATACAATTCATAGAAATAATACTACGAGTCTGTATATATGTGAGATAATAAATAACATTGCAAGGTGAGTATTTTAAGAGTAAATTACACTGAAACTTCTACTGTAACAATAGAAGACAAGGGCCAGGCAACAGATCGTTAATTAAGGAAATCAACACATATTTATAGATTTTCATGTACATTATTATAGATTATTGTTAGCAGAAAAACACAGTCCTCTGATTGGTTGTTTGTCACAGAAAGTTAACCTTGCATCTCATTGTGACTGTTTGTTCTCATATTTCTCACGACCAGTATTGGGGACATAAACACTGACGTAAATTACTGTCCACCAATTTTCACTAACAGCCAGCTCTCACCACACTACTACGGGGATGTCTAAGGTACCACTTATATATAATAAGTCTCATTTTAAGAGGTTGACAAAACCATTTAAAAAGTGTATAGACTGATTGATCTCAGTTTGAATAATTTGTGCAAGTAAGTAGGGTATTTTAAGTGTCTTTTGCACTCAAAATTAAAAAAACAACCAATCAGTAACTTTTCAGTTACCTGCTTTATTCATCAGCCACTGTTTATGTATTTTGATTGACAAATAATGCATTATTAGCGTAGTAATTTCCATAAGAAGTCTATTAAAATCTACAGTAGATGCTCCGTTGTAAATTGAGAAAAAAGGCTCTTTTATTTGATAAAGTTGTTTGTAGAATAAACAGGATGAAGTCGACAACATTTGTTTAGGGTTGAAATTATTACTTCCTCCCCAGTTAAAGGTGGGGAACACGTGACCCAAGTAACTTTTTTGGCATCTCTTAACGGAGCCATCGAAACTGACTAATGCAGGAATCGAGATGAGAAGGAATAAATGAATGATATATGACACAACTGCTGAGATTCAGGGGGAAATAAATGCAACGTGATATAAATTGGCGGCTTACATAAATTTGTATTTTGATGCAGACAAGGTTACATGATAATACTACCCTTAAATTTTGATTAATGAAGGTGAAATTCTCTTAGTACAATGAATAAACAGTTTTAGCACCACTTTTAATTTCATCTGACTGTATCAGTGGAAATCACTTATGTGATGAATAAAACGAACACTTTGTGATTACTCATAGTAGAAATTCCCCCATTTAGTTTCATATTACTTATTAGTAACACATTAATTCATCGTTGACTATGTTTTACTGACTTTTTTCCTTGTAGAACTATGTTTCTACTCTTGGCGGTAATTTATATTAATTTGACTTCACTTAAGAGTTTGAAACACTGACAACAATAGAGTATGACTTGTTACAATAATATTGAATGAATATGATGAAAAGGATAAGAGAACACTGAAAACCTTGTAGTTATTAGGCTATAGTGAGTAAAGAAATCGAGATGTTGGATTGTGTTCCATTTATTATTTTTTTTTATTCTTTTACGTTCCCAGTGGAACATAGGGCTTCAAGTCAGATCTTTGAAGTTTCTGTAGAATTGGTGTTATTTTTTATTTTTACGAGATGGGGTTGTTAGTCCTATATTCAACCTTCCCTCTTTACCGGACTTATAACCAGTTTAGTGAGGTTAAAAAAATGCATTGGTTGTGGTTCGAAACCCGGACAAAATGCATGTTTGGCGAACACTCTACCACAAAGCCCCCGACACACGTGTCGCGTTTATAGATAGTTGTTAATCATGTATATTATTTCCGTGTTTGCGTCACCAGTTTGTATTCGTCTCTTCAAAGGTCACTCACTCAAGCAGTATAGCCTACATTAATGGTCTATCATTAAAAATTCCATGCCTCAGGTTACCATTTTGAGTAAAAGTGAAACAAGGTGACAAAGTGTAAACCGAAATATGTGTGTTGCTATTCTTACTGCGAGCCACCATTATATAATAATATCAGCCTTCTGATATTTAGATGCTTAAGGGAACTAACCAGATTAATCCTTAAGTAAAATTCATATGACTAATTCACACTCCGTTTGGTTCGGCGTAAAAAACCTTAGTAAAACCAAAAAAAAAGTAAATAATAGACAATGGCTTTTGTTACGAAGAATTTACTTCATTAGAACAGCCACTTCTAATTGTGTCTACCAATTCAACTACGCTTGTGGATCGAGTTATATTGACAGTTGCTCTAGGAACTTGATTCTTCATGTACGAGAGCATCTACCAGTGTGGCTAAGTAAAGGTGTAGTAGAAACCATCAACAGTTGGATATTAGACCACTTAGTCCAAACCGGTCAAAAGTCAGCCACCATTGAAGAATCCTTTTCTATCATCTACCGGGTACCAAATAAGTTGCTAAAAACATCCAGGTACCGCATACTCTAAACTACAGAGGCTATCTCATGAAACAGCTAGTGCATTTTGCTCAAAAGAAGCAAGTTCAGTAACCACTACTGCCCCTGGCTGGCTTTCAGTGGAGACTATGAATTCATGAATTGGTATTATCATCTTTACTAATTTTTTCTGATATTCAGTTTATTGTTATGTTGATACTATTGAACTGTAATTTGTTGATATTATTGATTCGTGGTTATTTAACCATTAATCTTGTTCATAACACCAATTCACTCACTACTATTATGTATGTGTAACTGTAGAACCTAAGGATGAACTTATCGAAAAGAGTACTTTTTGTTCAGTATCCATTCTTCTGAAAAATTTACTTCTCCTTAATTTAATGACAAACTTTTCACAAGTCGACTGAACTCCTAAAATGTAATTACTGAATGACAGTATTCGGCGGGTGAATGCACTGCATAACTGACTGTTCGTTTTGGCATTTTCTTTCAAACTAAGCAGAGTGTTTTACCAGATAATAAAATTAGGGCTAATAATTTCATACCATACCATACCATAACATATACTAATGGAATCAATATTTATTGCATAACGTTTGGTTTCTCATTTTTCTTAGTGCGCTGTAATCGCGTTGAGTAATATAAACACGTTTAGTCCATGCCCAAAATATAGGCCTATATTACTTTGATTGAACACTACTTGTAAATACTGTCACACGTTCTTAGTCTGATGAAGTCTGTATTCTTACCGTCACGTTTGCAATATGGCTAACATATTTGGAGGCTCGCCATGATGTAGTGTGAATTGTTATGGATAGATGGTATCAGGGAATCAGCAGGAAGCCTTGGACCTACGTTTCGTACTTGCTGGTATTCGTCAGCATGGCGTGTCAGTAATTTCGAAGGAATTTACGTTCCTTCTGAGATTCAAACTCGTGTCACCCAGCAATGCAGCCAGAGATGTCACTATTGGGCTATTCGGCCTCCCTGTTTGCCTCCTCTTAATCTCATAAACTGTAACTGTTTTTGTTTTTTTTGTTTCTTGAGTTGCTATGTGAACCTAAAAGCTAACACTGTTCTGTTAATCAATTTTTTCTGTTTTCTCTCTTACCCCTCCCTCTCTTTTCAACTTTAAAAGCGTATAAATTGATGATGAAAACTTAAACTAAAAACATTGTAATGCTTTCATTTAGATGCGTCAATTTTATAGTATCTCTTTTCTACCACCACTCGAACATTAAAGTATGTTATTATCATCTATATAACCATTGTAATTTCAGGTAGTCTGCAGCTGATGAGAACCTGTGAAATAGAATGATATCATTTTATACTGCAAATTTCGTGATATCACTTTCATGATCAACTCGTAAAAGAAAAAGCAAATCTAATCCTTACAAACCAACTCTTTGAAAACTCTGTTTTCATTCCATCCCAAATGATGCTAAATTTAAATCCTCCTATGTTTCTTTGTTAATCTTTCATTAAACTAAGAAGTTATATACAATTCAGTTTCCTCTTCACAGAAGTACGTCTCTAATCATCTTGTAATAATTTGTTCTAGTATATTCAAAGGTTGTATAAGAAGTAGAATGCATTTGTCCTTCAGCTCATAAGTGTATTTATATACATATAAAGTAATATTATTACAACATACTTCATTAGTTTAGATAATCGGGTAATATATATATATATATATATATATATATATATATATAATGGACTAGAGACATAGATGTTATGATGGGTTGAAGTGGAGTAGAAATACGAAAACTAACTGTTTTGGATAAACTTTAGAAATAGTTTCTTAGCTTTCCTTACTTACACACCTTAACAATATTCTGCTGACAAGCAGTAATCTTTCTTTCTATCAATGCCATCATCTTAGTGAAAATGCATCTGAGGTGTGTTATTATGATCATTAAGATTATTTTGTACTGAGAAGAGAATAAGAAATGCAGACAGAATTCACTTGAACTGATAGACAGATAAATAACTCCATCTCCTTTTCTTTTCTCTTCTTTTTTTACTATTTTAATAGATAATTGTTATGTTGATGTTGATGAATAAATATACTAGTTAGTTAGGTGGATAAAATGGTGAATAACGTGCACAAAAGTGACCCAGACATAAATTGAAGGAAATAGAAAAGAGGGTAGAATAGATAATGAATTGAGAAAGGAAATATTTTCTTCTACTTGTCCATCATTTTCTTCTTTTCTACTAGACATTATAAAATCAGTTAATAAAGAAATTGATAAATCTTTCTTTGATATGAATTTTATTTTACTTCACTTCGTTTAAGCAGCAGACGGTAATTTCACTTCCTATATTATTGATAGTAGTATTAACAGTAGTATGTTTATTGATGTTTATTTATTGATTTACTGTAAGTTTGAAAGTCATTTATTGATTTTTTTTGCTATGGACACGTTAGGAACTAAAAGACTGTCAAGTGAATTATCTAACATTCAAGAAACTATTCTTGGTTATTTTCAAGTATTGGTTTTGTCGGGATTTTTGTTTGCTTGATTAGTTGGAGGATTTCATCATGAGCTGACATCAGTTAAAGAACCATTGGAAAATCAGCTGAGAGTACTGAACAATCAGCTGTTTCGTCCCATTAATTTGGGACCCTTCAGCGGTACGCACTTACCTGGGTTTCCAACCCAGGACCTTCTGATTACAAGCAAGGAAGCTCGTAGATCATTAGGCCAATGGGAACCAACCCAATGACCAGCACATCAATTCTAACTTCTGCCAAATCATGACGTAGCGTGACCACTTCGCACTATTTTCTTCAATGAGTTATTGCCTCAATGATTTACTCGCAGATTTTCTGAATGAGGCAGTTTTACGTTTTTGGTGGAATGTTCATCTCTCCAAACTTTTGGGTGGTTTGAAGTGATTTGGCAGTCTAAGGTGAGTCAAGCCAATTATACGGCTGACGAGCTCGTGTCTGGTGTTTACACTACTTTGATCTGACTAGTAATCACTAATACTCAGTTTATAGAATGCAGAGTCATACACCTTTTCGATGTATTAGCAAATGAGTAATCTTGTAAGGGGAACATCCTTTCTGATAGTTTCCAAAATGTTAAGAGAAAGAAAGTACAGAATAATGTTGTGGAAATTGTCTCAAATTTTTTATTCTAATACACCATGAGCAACACTGAGTCACTCACAACTAAGTTTGTTGACAATTCTAAACCGGAATAATTCTTGGGATTTGAAAATGTACTTTTTAGATTTTATCTTCTAATTTAGACAACTGTTGAAGGCAAAAGCCTGGATAAATTGGAAAAATTTTCTGAATGGTTGAGTTATCTTTGATAAAGGGTAGGTTTTCCTAAAACAACTTTGTGTTTACTGTCAAAGAAGCCCATGTTAGTAAAACAAAGTTCCCCATCTAGTTTGACTGTAACGACGTACACAGAAAAATGCCCGGTACTAGATTTAAAATTACTAAGGTATGCAACCTAGATTCCACCAATTAAAGAGTCCACTTAAAAATCCTACTTATTGTATTGCATAATTCATCTATCTCTCTCAAAAAAATTATAACTTACCACTGACTAATAGCCTATAAGTATAATTTAGACTTCCAACTGCATTAGAAACCTGACATGTATACTGTCCAGTATGTTCACGGCCAACTCGATCAATTGTTAATATTGGTCCACGAACACCTTGACCAGTTGTTATCCAATCAGCTACTGCATTACCCATAAACCATCGATATTTTATTGGTTCAGTACCTTCGGCTTCACAATTAAATGTTACAGAAGAGCCTATAGCTCTTTCCAAACTAATTGATGGGTTAGTTTTCAAGGCTGTATCAACAAAACACGGAGCTGAAAAAAAAACAAAAAGTGTGATTACATAACTTTTTAGATTACGATAATAAAGTGAGTGTTGAAAATGATGTCGAGCCCAAACGACTTAAGAAACCACTGAAAACTCGAGAACACTATATAGCCATTTCGTCGTTTCTCGTAAATCTTCAACATGATTGCTCACTCTTGATGCAAATAAGGACCGAGCTTACGAGCTTCAAGGGACAGCATTTTAAAGTAAGTTTGTATATGTGAGGATATAAAATAAACTACTTAAAAAAGATAAATAATTTACTGTTTTGAAGCAACACCTTGAAAGTCTCCTATTCAAATTGCGTTTTTTTCCGCAGTTGTCAATCAAGTTTCTTGGAAAATCATAAATAATATTTTACTTAGTAAAAACCACAATTTTTCTAAATGAAAAATTGTGAGACGTTACATTGATTGGCATGTTAAACATAATGCCAATTAGCGTGATAAGCACATGATTGACAATTATAATGAGTACAAAAACTTTTGAGAGATATGTTACAGTGATCAGCTTGTTCTATTTGGGAATAAAGCGGTTGATTTATGTCACTAAAAACTGGTTTTCCTCTGTTAAGCTTGAGTTAGTTGAGAAGAATTAAGACTTCTTGATTTATTTTATAATGGATAATTCGTCCGGTTTAAAAATACTATGCTCAACTATTAATTTTGTAAACCCTTAAAAAGAAGAAAGGCCTTTCAGGGAATAACAGTAACAAGTATATTGAAAAAAATTCATGAAATTATTTTGATTTGAGTTAAAAAACTTCCAGCTGACTCCAAGAAAAAAACTGAATAGCCCCTAGGAAATCTTTGCCAAATAATCACTTCAAATCACTCCACTTTTTCCTGTGAAAGTTCATAAACCTTAAAGGAAATCCTCAATTTCTGGTTTTCAGGGATTTGAATGCAAGATTGATCACAAAATTGTTTCAGTTAGAGGAGTACTGGCAGTCAGGGAGTAATGAACATCTGTTTCGTCCACCATTGAGACACTTCAATGCGCGTTGGTGGCAGATTGGTTAGGACTCTCGCCGACCATTCACATGGTACAAGGTTCGATCCCCTGCCGACGCACACCTGATATCTATGGTCGGCCTGCAAATTTGGGCTACCGATATCCACGCTGAAAATTCCATACTTGTACCAAAAGTACAGAGTGGAATCAAGCTGTAAATAAAAAAAGTATGCACCCTTGACTCCATCAGGGATTCAATCCACGAAATTCAGATTGAGAGGTGAGCCCATTGGCCATTCAGCTACTGTTGCAGAATCCAATCATTTGGGAATTCCAGCTGCCAGTTTGTTATACAGTAAAACCAACAACGCAAATTATTTCACGTCAAGGATATTTCTCTACTGTTAAATAAACACAACTTACCTAAAGCATACAAATAATTCATAAATCAAGTCAATAAATAAATAATATTTGTGTTTTCCAAAAGCCTCTTGATATATGCTTACCTTTAGCCTTTGTATTTTCTACATTCGGCACAGCACAAAGAAGATTGATATTAGGATCTGTAAATATAAGAAAACAAGATGGAAGTTATATTATGGAGAAACTTATGTGAAATCTGATCGGATTGTTAGTAATTTATTATTATTCTGATATATATATAAAGGTATTGATCTGCATTGATGATTTAACCTTAGAATGTTTTCTGAACACGTACGGAATTCAATTCCTTGTCGACGCCCTTCTAAACCTTTCTTAACCGGAAGTAAGTCCTGGAAGGAAGAAAGCAACTCCATCCCGTAAAATACAAATCAACACTGCTACTGAAACTTCACAGCTCGAACTTGAGGTGTTATGTTCTACTCAGAAGACAAGGGAATGGAAAAATATAAAGAATCCACTAGTTGGGATTTTCATGCTCTTTCTCAACCTAATCAAATGTAATTTTAGGGGCACATACGATGAATAAGTATAAACTGATTGCGCTTGGTAGGTAACATGACTATTTCAGCTTCTTACTCAACAAAATGACCTGGAATTACAGTCTATTATTATTACCATGTACAAGATTGTCAAAATCATAGTGCAAATGTTGTTACAAAGAGTGTAGACTGTTTAGAAGTCTAACTTATGCATCGCTGATATTAAATGTATTGCATAAAGAACTCATTAAAATTATTGTCATACAACATCAGTGTTACTGTTGTAACTATCCTATTGTGAAAATTATTTATTTACCCTAATATTATTGGCTAATTTTAATGTCTGTTTGTTACTTTCCTCTAACCATTTGATATGTCTGATAAAAGTGCTAAAGTCATTTAAGTATATGTGTGGGAAATAAGGATTGTTGTATTGGTTTCTGATGATTGTTGACTAACATTATTAAGTTATGCTTATATCTTGGCTTTCATCTCACATAAGCTTTTGTTATATAATTAAAGAATTTGTAATTCAACACAGAAATGATTTCATTATTTATGAGACAGAAAGCATACATTAGTTGAGTAGAACAGAGCACTTTTTGTCTACCATTTCGTGCACTTTATATTCTCATAGTTGAGCAGTTATCGAATGTCGAAGGAAATAGAGTCAATTTGGATGCATTTTGAGGAGACCCTTATGTGACATCATGTGCCTGACCTTTGGGTGGAACCTTAATGGAGAGCAACGAATTAGACGTGTGTTTGACAGTGACGTGGAGGAAATCGTGTGAGGGGGAGATGAAACCATATGGTCAATCGTGGGACCTTCTTGGGATGAATGCGAAGAATAGGATGAAGCGGAGATGTACTGTTGAAGCCCTATGTTCCACATGGAACTCAAAGAACAATAGTAATAATAAGTAGTCATCGGAATTCTTAGATGATTTTTAGTAAAGTTATTGAGTTATCGTCTGTTCATGCATAACCCCACCGGAGGTACAACCTAGTAACTTCAGACTACCAGGTGAGCTTGTTAACCAATCAGTCACTGGTGCTGAGTCAATGGCCCATGAATTCTAACTTCTATGTCAATAGTCAGTGTTTACTAATATGACGAATAGTTTAGCTGAAATAAATGTCATGATATAGCTTAAAACGTCTCGTAAATTATTTGGTAACTATTTTATAAAGCGATTTTCTGAAAGGCGAAAATAACTCATTAATATTTCCTACTGATTTCTTTGAATTTGTGGGTCTACTTCTCTGTTAATAATACCTTCGATAATTAAAACGCGGTCCACTATCAACAAGATTTGACTGTCCTGGATTCAATCTAGTTAAATCGATCTGTGTTTAATAAAAATTAAGTTTTATTGAGAAGTTTTCAATGTCTTTCTAACCAGTCTGGAAAACCGATGAAAGCTATTCACTTATATATACTACCCGGTTCAGAGTACACAACCACATCAAGCTAAGAATTCATAAACTTCAGATAAGAGTATTATGCAAGCGCATCCAACTGACGAGTCCCAAATACGTCTCTTGATTCATACTACCCGTCACTATTGAAACATGTAACTTGAAACACTTAATGTCATTATTTTTTTGCACATATGACCATATGATTTTGTTATTGAAGAAACCCGAGATGAATTATCTAGAAAAACTGTCTGAATCTTATTGGTACCGATGTGGAATTTTCTGCATGTGATATAGGTAGCCCAAATTTGCAGGCCGACCATACATATCAGGTGTGCATCGGCAGGGGATCGAACCTCGTACCATGTGCATGGTCAGCGAGAGTCCTAACCACTGTGCCACCGACGCATAAGTATAAGTATAAAAGTTAGAAATGAATTTATACTTCTCAGTATCGATTCACAACCTCAAGTTTTATAGGTTGTTGTTTTTCCCAAAGATTGATGAATCTAAAATCATATGACAGTTTCAAAGTTTATGCAAAAGTAAATATGTAGGGGTATACCATCCTACTGTAAATTAGTCATTTTACCATCCAAGAAAAGAATCATCACTGACAGTCTCACCTTTATTTTTTCACAAACACTCACACATACAAATAAAGGGAATATGAAGTACATATTCACAGCCAACAGTTTTTGATAATCTGATTTGATTGTATTACCAAGAGATGTTATTGTTTTCAATGCTTTTCTGTTCATGCATCATATCTGCAGTGATCACAGAAATAGTATGATTGTTTTATTTACTCTTTCTGTATATATTTTCTTTGTTTCATTTGACCTCTGTTAGCAGCTTAGTGTTGTTTAGTCTCTCTCTCTAAATTAAAAATGATCTTACTTCCTCTTTGGTCACACTGTTTAATTTCTATTGTGTTTACGTGATAATTCTACTTCAACAACTAAATATAACTAACTTTCATTCATTTGACAGATAATAATTCACCCTGGTGTGTGTGTGCGTGTTTTTACTGACCTATCTTTGGTTTACTAAGAGGTCAGCTTGTCACAAAATGTGGATTAGAAAATGATGGTAATTGTCAAGTGGGGTAGTTTTTTCTCATTATTCAAATATACCCTGATGAAGTATAAGGAGTCATTGTGAAAAAAAAGAGAGAAACGTGTGGGCTTCTTTATTTTATACTGTTGTACTTTAGATTCCCTGAGATTAATCTTTTTCACAGAGTAGTTAGTATTTACTAATCACTCCACTGGATATTTATATTTTCTAAAGCATTTGTGATTTTTTTTTCACTATTTAATTATTTACTTTTACGAGTTTGATCACGGATTGATATCATTTAGAGAACCATTGAAAAACCTTACAAACCAACTCTTGAAAATTAATCTGATGCTCGCTAGTGACCTGCTATAAGATGGAGTTTCCTGGAATTCAAGTGAGAAGTTGTGATCAGTGAGGTCCATTCAGTCAAGTGTGAGGATGGATAATCTGCCAACGATGTTGGTTGGTGGTCACACTAAATCACAAATTGGTAGAAATTAGAATTCATGAGCTGGTTGACCATTGAATCGGGTCCCAGTGGCTGAATGGTATACAAGCCAGCTTGCTTTGTAACCGGAAGGTCCTGGGTTCGAATCATGGTGATAGGTGTGTACTGCCAATGATTCCCAGACTAGTTGAATGAAACAGCTGTCCATTACTCCAGTGCTGGTTTTCAATGGTTCTGTAACTGATATCCATCTGTAATCAAACTTGAAGCCAGTCAAATCCCTACAAGCTAATACCTGAAAATTATTGATGCCTGTCTGATTCAGTATTTCCTACGGTTTTCCTCTCATCAGCATAAACAGCTAAGTTCTTTTATAACAGAGTGTAGAACACGGATCTGTTAGTTAATTTTTGAAAGAAATCGTCTCCACTCTAAGTCATAAAGCAGCTTTGTTTGAAAAAAGAGCGTAAAAGAGTGTCAGACACAATTTCAGACACAAGTGTGAAGTACTTACAGAAGTGCTGTCACTGTCTGATATTGACGGTGCTATGTTACGGAATGGCAAATGCAAGAAGTTATAATCCATCTTTTTTTAGTAGACTGGCTTACTACTGATGTCGTTAGTTCATGGCTTTATTGTCGCAGTTTCCTTTCTTCAACGTCTCATGAGAGTTTACCATTGGAAAGTTTACGACTAGGAATAAATAATTATTCCATGCTACTTATCTTTGAGTGATTCTACTAACTGATTTTTAGATGGTGACAAAGCCTACATTCAAAATAAAATGAGCCATGGCAAATTAAACCTCTGTATCCACTGAAATAGTCTAAATAAAAAGACAGTAACTATCCTCCAGTAATAAGCTTACGCACGAGTTCCAGTGTCTTAGAGGTTTGATAGTTGAAAAGTACTGCCTCGTTACAAGGTAAATACCGTTGATTAACCTAGAAAATGGTGTTAGTGGTTCATAGACAGAATGCTCATCCACCACGCTTGTGGTATAGGTTCGACTCCTGAATAATGCACTCCTAAACCTCGCCTATTTTAATAGTCTGTAATAAGCTCGGAAAAGACAGAAGGCTGAGCATTAGGCTAGCAACCCAACGCCTTAAAAATAACGCAAACACCAACGAAACTTCAAAAACTTAAAGCCTGAAGCTTTGTGTTCTACTTGGAACTCAAATAGATGACGAAGAGCTTAGAATAAAAAATGAAACGCTATCATATTCCCATGTCTAGGGCTTACTTCATTGTTAATGATAACTTTACTTGTCTTAAAAATGTAAAAGTTTACATCATTGAATATGGCTTTCGCCTTTCTGACATAAAAGCACCCTTGGTCCCTAAAATAACACTAAATATATTGTACAGACTCCGTATTTCAGTATTACATAACTCGTGATTTTTATCCAAAGAAATAATTAACCTTCTGAGCTAAATAAATGGGAAGTAACAGACAGCTAATTGGATTTTCAGTTGCATAATATCTTTAATTCATTATCTAAACAGTAGCTGAAAATCCATCTTTTCCACTAGATAACATTTCTGTCCATTGTTGTAACTATACAAATTCAGGATTTCATCATGAGCTGGCATTGGTTAGAGATGCACATTGGCGACTGGCCCTATTCAGGTAGGTAGTTACCTGGGGTTCCAGTGGGAAGTAGTGACCAGTAGCCGAAGACATCGGCTAGCGGTTGCGCTATATCGTGAATTGGCAGAAGTTAGAATTCATGGACTGACTGGTCATTGGATAGGGTCCCAGTGGCTTAATGGTATACGAGCTCGCCTTGTAACCAGAAGGTCCTGGGTTCGAACCTCCTGTGGTGGGTGAGTACTGATGAAGAGTCCCAAACTAGGACGAAACTAGTACTCCAAGGTTTTCCAATGGTTCTCTAATCAATGTCAGTTCATGATGAAATTCTGTAGCCAATAAACGAAATCCCTACAAACCAATACTTTTATACAAATTCACTTCTCCTAGGATATGATCAAAAACTCTTCAATACTGATAATACGTATATATATATATACATACATATATATATTGCCTTGAATTATGTCATACTCTGTCATAAACTCAATAAAAGTTTTTTATCTTTCTTCTATAATAAAAAATGAAATCACAGAATAAATTTTAGAGAGTTTTACCATCTGATAGGTTTTTGAAAAGAAAGATGAGTACTACACACTGACAGAATGATAGACTGTGGGAATTTAACCATATGCTGAGATATGATTATGTTTAGAGTTGGCTAGTCAAAATATAACTTCTTCAGGTCATGAGCATATATATCTATAAATATATATTTCTCTAGGAGATATCATATTTCATTGATACGCGCCACATACTGATATACACTTATATATATATATATATATATATATATATATATATATATATGAAAATATAATCTCCTGATTGATAAGATTATCTTACTGTGTATATCAATGAATTTCTCTACTACATATGCTGTGTTTCCCATAGTCATATAAATATATCTATCACAAGGTATGCCTTCTCTCTGTACATTATGTCAATCAGTATGATACATAATCATCATATTACACAATATTATAATATAACTAAGTAACGTCATATCCTTGACATATTTACTTACAAGTGAATAGTATAAAATGTGATGTGGTGTACGTTGTATAAAAACCCCAAAAATAGTTAGTCAGTAGACAAATTTTGTTTTGTCTTATTGTATGCCTACTTTTTTCGTCCTTCTTCTGATATGGAAGACATCTGACATATGAGACAAAATTAGGTTTAGTTGTTTTTTTCATTAATGACATTTCAAGTGTTTATCAAGTGAACTAAAGTAAAGAACTACTGCTACTGCTATCAGTAAGAATATTGATATTCTCAGAATTTTGGCGTTTTAATATTCTTCTTTCGACTGAATACTTTCAATGCTAAGCTATTTTTTTTGTTTCTGTGGGAGTTAGAATAACAATGATACACCAGTCTTATAATCTAAATATCAACCATCAGCTCATTGACGGTTACTACATGAATGCCTGAAAGCTGTACTAAGATGTTATAACCAGTGGAGTCCACCATGTCAAGATGAAGTTGATGCTCATTGAAAGCATTGGTCGAGGGTAGGGCTATATCACGAATAGACAGAAGTTAGAATCCAATGGTCATGAAGAAAATAAAAGACAAATTCAGCGAAGAAAATTTTCTTTATCAACGGAATCATCTTCAGAGGCTGACTGTACAGTTGTATTTATATTTACCAAAAATGTATAGTTGTCTATTATTGAGTAATATGGGATGTCACAATTGATATAATTACTCAGAATTGGCTCTAGAAGTGAAAATTAAAAGTTGTAAATCACATGGTACTCAACGGAACAAAGATAGAAGTTTGATAAGGTTAAAATTGCTCTTGAGTGAGAATAAAGGTATTTGAGTGTTAATTTAACAAGTGTGAAGAGGGTGTGAAAATATACAAAAGGAGCATATGAGAGTAATAATAGCGAATTAATCATTATAGTGAAAGCAAACTAAAAAGTAAAATTGAAAAAAAAAGAATTAAAATTTTTACATAGAATGACTAGGGAGATGTTAAGACCAGGGAAGAATAAGAGATTGGACAAACTTTTTCTGTATACAGAGTTCGGGGTTGCATCGACGAATTGCCAGTGCCCCCGCTATACACAAAAGACGAAACCTGATGTCATTTGTACCATTTGGCGGCCTTACTTTGTACATGATTTTGAAAGATGACTCTGGTGGAGCTACATGGTTTGAGTTTACCAAGTGCTCGAAAATTGAGCTAGTAATTGTCTTCCATTGTCCATTGGCTAACCATGCTGGATAATGTCCAGGGATGCGTTTGGAAAGCGTGCGCTTTGTGTGGGCGGCCAGTATAACTAGCTCCACACAAGCAGGCGAATTGATAAACACATACACATTGAAGTGGCCTGTCCAAAGCGGCAGTTTATTCTTCACACATCCATTGGTCATTTGTCAGCTGTAGAAATTGATACGTAGCTCAGCCGTAAAGAAGGCTTTCCTCAGTGATCTGCATAAGCGATTCTTCAGGATCTCAGCTGCGGTATCACCTTTGAATTCAACGCTCATAAATAGCAGTTTCTTCGACACCGTTTAGGTTCTTTCATGGTTTTGCTTTAACTTCATGTTTTTCTCGATGAATTTTAGAGCATATCCATTTTGTTTGAGGACTTGTTTGAGTCGCCACAGTTCCCCGTCTTATTCTTGAGGTGAGGATAACGAGTGGATCAGTTATCCATTTCTTCTCAAAGGTACCCAACTACGAAATTTCGTGTACTGAACATTCCATGTTGGTTTCCTGTCTATCGATCTTTGAAGAGAACCATCGGATCTCCTTTTTAGAAAAAATATTCAGAAAATGGAATTCCAAGTTCGTCTCTGATTCCTACGTGAATTGGATGGTCATTGAATTCCCACACAAGTGACTGAGAGATTAACGAATTCGCCTCGTAACCTTAAGGTCCCAGGTTCGATCTCTGATAGGTTGGTTGATGTGCACTGCTGTAGCGTTCCAAGCTAGGATAAAACAGTTTTCTAGTGCTCTCCAACTAATGTTAGTTGAAATTAAATTAATTCAAATTCCGAATTCCGTAATTTATATAGTATCCACATTTAAACTAGTCATCATTGTCATGAGTAGAACAAAACGAAATAATTTGTTTACTTCAGGCATAAATCTTCTGCATCATCGTACAAAGTTAGGTGAGAATCGATCAAATTGTTTACAATTTACTCTGAACAGAAGACTAGGTTTCGAAGTGGTCATTAGGTAAATTACTTCGACACTTATACCTGCTGATTATCTGTCAATGACTACATACATATGTAAAGGAAGCAATTATGATTGAGTGCAGATAAACACAGAGAGATAAGTATACTTATCGGCCTCCTATTCCCCCTGCTCCTGTACTCAGCTGTCATGAGTACATCCATACACATGGATAAATAATTTCTCAGGTGATAAATAAATAAATTCTTGTTTGTTTTTTTGAATAATTTAGACTTATTGAAGTGCCTCTATAGGAATCTTTTCAGACCTGTATAATGCATATACAGGTCAAATGATATAAATAAATACTTGTATAAGAAGAGAACAAGAAGTAAGTAGCACATGTGAGTAATTACAACAAACTTTGAACAACACTCAGCCATTCTCTTCTTTGTTAACCAACCCTGTCATTCTTTTTTTTTGTCTTTTACTTTTTCACTGTCTAATTTGAAATGCAGACACACATTTTCCAAGTGGTGCTAACATGTAGAAATGTTCCACTTTAGTATTATTATTATTATTATTATCATTATTGTTAGGAGTATTTTGAATAATAGATTACAACAGTCACTGAAGTAGAACACACGACTTCCACACAGGCAGTCAAACACATACATATGGACAAGATATTAAATTTTTCACGCTATTTAATCCATTTAATGAACTGAAATCCAAAATAATAATCATAATAATAATTAGAACAGAAATCTTAACAATCTTAACTACTCATTGTGTCTGAGTTAATGAGAACTAATAGGTTTAATTATATATATATATGCAGGTAAGTGAGGAAAATCAAATTTCTTTATGCAAAATTTTAATTAATATAGTTATTTTGTATTACTTATTTTTAAATTATAAATGCTACAGTTATTTGTATTATTATTAGTAGTAGTATAAGAGTATTCCTATTCACTGTCCCACCTAATAATAATAATAACCGTAACGATAATAATCCATTATTTATAATGTCTATATTAATGCGATAACTACTGATAAAAATATTAGTAGTAATGATGTCAATCACACTTTCAATTACTTTTTTAAATTAAAATATGACTTATTTTCACTAGTATTTAATTTTGTGTGAGTAATATATTGGAATTTGTAAGTAGGATAGAATAATTTATTATTCCCTGGCGTTCCAAGTAGGAAAGAACGTCTCCATATCACTCTGTGTTTTAGTTGGTTCCCCCCCCCAATATTGACTATAAGCTTTCATTACTTCTTCATATGATCTCCTCAATGTCACCCCTCGTACCAAAATCTAGTTCTTTTGTTCCCCATTGTGTTTCCACTTGACATCATGACGCGTGATATTAACCAAAGGTCTCCTTAGTGTGCGTCCAACTGATCTCCTCCATTCCTTTTGGCATATTTATTGGCCCAGCTAGTTTTCATTACGGAGCGAAGATAGTTGTTGATGAAAGTCTGCCATAGTCTGTTGGAGATGCTTACGGTGAAGTCTCTGAACCATATAGAAGAAATGACTTGTCACTAATGTTGGAAACTAGAATCTTGTCCTTCATGCTGATTTCAGGTTAACGGACATCTGTCTTACTTTTCCGATCTTGCCCTCCATATCTTCATTCATACCTCCTGTAGTTGAAACGGTGCTGCCTAGATAAGTGAAAGGGTTGACCTTATTTAAAATTCTCCTGTTGATGCTGATTGATGTTTGTTGTTGTTGTTGTTGCCAGTTAGGTATCTTCACTGCCTATGTCTTCTTTCTGTTCACTCGAAGTCGTGTCTTCTTTACTTTTTCTGCCAACTTGGTGGTTTGCGCCTGTACAACTTCGAGTTTGTGTGACATTACACATCAAGATCATTTAAATGGATATTAATCACACTATTATTATCAGTAGTAGTATAATTATCAGGTAAAGTTTATCATAACACGCTTACCTCTTACGTGAACTTCAAATGTAACTTCACGTTTACCAAAACCAGTCACTCCTAAACATGTATAATTGCCTGAATCAGAAACTTGCAAGGGTTCAGTGACTTCGAGTATTCGACGCTGTTGACTAAATCGATAATGACTATTTGTATCCAGTGAATAGTCGTGTAAATCTCTCACCTTCCAGTTGTACATAACACCCGAATTATATTCAGGTTGATTTGAATTAGAATTTTCGTTGGAAGAGACTAGACCACCAGAGGATGTGATATGAATTGGACATTCAAGACGTAGTTTATCACCAACTTGTAAACGAATTTGATTATTATGATTGACAACCATTGGCACTTTGGTATCTGTGTTTAATCAAACAGAGGAATAAAATGGAAAAAATTATAATCTTTTTTCTAGTTTAATTAATTCATGTTATTCAAAATCAACATTCTAATAATAACGTATTCGGACAACGAACTCGCACATTTAATACTTAATAGATTAATATAAATAGATTATTGTTACTTATCAGTAGATATAAGTAGTATACCGAGTAACCTGTCTGAGGAATCAGTTAACATTTACATGGGTATGAAAAAAAGTCACTGAAGAAGAAAATACCAGGAAGAACCTAATGCGCAACTAACAACGCCAACATCAATACAATGTCCAATGTATTTTATTTCAAAAATTATTGTTTCTACTCTTGCAAGCCTTATTGTCTTCAGTACTACTAACCCACATGGAACTGCATTTTTCAGGTAAATTAATCCAGACATTCAGATTATAAAAGTATTTTTTTGTGGGGATGTTTTTTATTTTTTTGTATTCCTTTACGTTCTCAGTAGAACATGGGGATTCAAGCATTAGGCTTTGAAGATTTAAGGGCGCTAATACTGTTTTTAAGGGGTAAGGTTGTCAGTCTTATAACTGGTATACCTTCTTTTCCAGGCTAATTACCGACTAAAGCACCGTATAGGTATCACACAGCCACAACTGAGGTGTGAAGGCTAGTGATACTACCCGGCTGCTGGAACTCTGATAGATGCAGCAGAGTTGGAACCCATGGTATTTGGATTGGAAGTCCAGCACCTAAACTACTGAGACACAGCCCAGATCATTATAAGTGTATCATCCCAAGATCGTCTTCGATAATCTCAGCATTAATCGTGAATTCTGTTTATTTTTCTTACGGTCAGAGGAATTATCAACAGCTGAAAATATATACAAGAAGAATGACCCAACATCATTTTTAAATATCAAGAAAATTTAACTACCCATATGACAAATGTAGAAGAAGAATTAAGTCTATAAGAACCGAGTTCCAATGTGATATTCGATATACTTATTAACAATGAATTGTTTTCAAAACATCACTGTTTCACTGTATGACCACTGATCAACAAACTAATATAGATTTAATTCAATGTTAGATTTTCCCGTTGATTGATTGGACCGAAGTGCTCCGTCTCAGGGAACAACATCACTCACTGCAGAATTCAAGTACGCCCAGCCGACGAGTCACATATAGGACGAAATGTGCATCCTTGATTCCACTGCTAGTCACCGTCCACCAATTAACTTCAAACTAATATAGAGTTTAGGGTTATATGTTTACGCGTAGTTTTGATTTCTTTATTAGCAATGAAATGTTATTTGTGAATGAGGGACAAAAGTATTCATAGAAAATGTGACATGACTCCTTCTCTTATATTGTCTATTCTGATTGTCAAAATTATTCTAAACTGTCTATTCATCATTTGAGCTTATCAAAACACGAGGATAACACCATTGCTTACACATTACTTCATTCTAATCTGATGTTACATGAATAACTTTAAACTCAGATGACCAGGTGTTGTACACATTCAATTGTGTAAAAATCTTACACATAGATTACAACAATTAGCTTATCTATTATTAGTATTATTATGATGGTGATGATTATTTAAAAAGAAATTTCCCGCTGGTTTTTTATTCATTTATTCAATGTCCAATTGTTTAGATATATAGATAGATACACATATATTGAAGAGAAAAATAAACTTGTAACAGGTGTACATCTTTATTTATTAATAAATGAAATGTATTCATCAAAGTGGTTTCTACTATTATTTATCCAGTCATCTAGATGTACTGGTATTTTTTGTTTTTAATCTGAATTTCTTTGGGTGTATGCATAAAAAGCAGAAAATAATCAAAGAATCTTTAATTTGAATAGAAATAAAGAAAAAATGCTTGAGGTATCCTGGTGAGAGCTTCATCTTTGAAATTGTATGAGATGATGATTAACACTGTTAACACTAGTGATCATTGTAAAACTTGTCACAGTGCACAGTTGTTGTTATTATTATTACTATTATTACCACTGTTACTCCCTACCCTCTAGTTATTCATCGGATGGGGTCACTTTGTAAAATGTATAATAATAATGATAGTAAAAAGGTGTAAATTAATGGTTTTTGAAAGACCCTTATCTCAACAGGAGGCTTAAAATAACTAACAAATCAATGAATAAGAAAGATATTTAAGAAATTTTTGAGATTCAATCCATTATTACTAAAATAGGGTACATTTTACTGAGCTAATTACGTGTTACTAATTGACTAAAACCGGTATTATCTGTATAAAGCATCCATTAGTGTGTTTTGTATGTATGTGATGTTTTAAAAGAAGTTTAATTGAAGCATTTAGGAGTTATCTTTAAATAAGCCAGAGAACAGTCTGAAAAGTATGGCTTACATCAGCATATGTTATGATAATTGCATGAACTGTAAGTATATAAGAAACGATGGAATATATTAGATATAATGAAAAGGGTTTCAAAGGATTACTATTATTAATGCTATTTATAACCTTAGCTCATTTATCTGAGTAGATTCAACTAGGATTCGTTTTTCATTAAAACCATTCATTAGTTACGTCATATTTTAATTGAAGTGAATGTATGAAACCATACCATGCTCTGCAAAAATTAATTTCTAGTTAATGGTTTCAAATTAGACCTCCTTTAAAAACCACTTAGATTCGTTTGAATTCATGCAATTCACTAACATAATTCATTTTTGGAAACATTGTTCGAGGATATGGTATATGTGTTGTCGGTGATTAAGTTGTAGAATGTTTGCCAGCCACATGAGGAGAGTCCAGTTCGCTTTCCGATCTTCGCAGTTTAATTCTTAAAGCTAAAGAGCGAGGGAAGGTTGGGTGTTAGTTGGGCCAGCAACCACAGCCTGAAAAAATGGAACACTATCATTGTGAATACAATTCAGTTCAATGTTTGAAACTCCTATTTGTTGCTTTCATGGGTTGATTACTGCCTACTGTATTCTCCTTCAGTTGTTACAAGCACTAAGCTTATTGTAAAGATGGATTGATAGCATATCAACATCTACATTACAATTATCTTATGCAAGATATCATAACTTTCAGTGTTATGTAGTCTCATATATCTATAAGTATTTATTTGCAAATGAAGATCTTTTTTACAAACTGAAAGTAAAACTGAATGATGAAAAAGCTTCCCTACACTAAGCATTTCTTCCTTTTTTCAACTCAGAAAAGATAATATTGTTTAAATGTTTTTGGGGTTTTCCATTTTTGACACGTTTGACAAGTGACAAAGAAACAGACAGTTGATAATCACCTGATTCGTTAACTAAACTAAACTAACCAACTAACTAACTGACTAAATTTAATAAATAGATGAATCCTGTGTAAACTTACTACTATCTAAAAGTAGACCTTATTTATATTGGTGAATATTAAGAGAAATTAGAGTCCTATTAGTGAAAGGATTCTTCTAGTTCTAATACACAGAAGAGTTTTGGTGTATTAATATTAATAATAATTTGCTTTATTCCAAAACAGTACTTGCGATACATAATGGAATTTTCAGCATTTTACTACATACAGTATTGCATCCAGTTAGTACATTATCACTAAATAAAATTTTACATAGATTAAGGTAATCTCAGTTCATTATGACAACAACATATTGGTATGTCAGTAACAAAGCCAAAATTAAACACAGTGTTTGAAGGTGTTAGAAAAGTAGATGCTGGCATATCTACTGCCTGGCGTAAGCAGAAGAAAGAAACAAAGCAGCACATAACGGAGAAAAAAGTGAGAGAGAAAAGGAAAAGAAAGAAAGAAAACGTGCCTGTAAATGATATGAGTTGGAAATACGAGATTCAGTTGTTCTACTGACTATTTAATATGTTATAGGTATCACGCCTAATGCTTTCTTTATCGCACAGAACACGAGCTAAGTAGGGTATGGTTGAGTTTTTGTACTTGCTAGTGCGAGCACATAGTTTTCTATATAGGCTTCTGGTTTTGCCTGATGAGATAGATACAAGGGTAGAGTTGTGAATGAAGAGTGTGGTGTAAGTTAGATAAAATGGATTTAGCCCATTTTTCACATGAGTCTGAGTGCCTGTCAACCAGGATACTAACAAGCTGGTTAAGTGGCACGTTCCTTACCCTGTTGACAACCTTCAACATCCTTCGTAATAAGGTATAGTCTTTCTTCAGTAACCCAGGAAAAACTAAGGGGGAACAACAGAGAATTATAGGCAGAATACGGGAGTTAACGAATTGTAGGAGTAAGGGTTGAGTTATACAAGAATGTCTTAACTTCTTGATGTAGAAGGTAAGACGGAATATTTTCTTAGAAATCATCAAGATATGAGACGACCAGGAAAGATCAGCAGACAGAATGACAGATGTTTGCTACAGTTTTTTCTTCCATAGCAACAGTTATAGTTTATTTGACTGAGATCTGTTAAACAAACTATTTTGAGAATCGAGATTCAAAGTTCAATAACAGCGATACGCCTTCATAGGTGGGTTTCTTACAAAGTGGGGTATAATATGGAATATGTATTTCCTCATAGTTTCAGATATACTTGTCATCTGACAACCTGTGTCAAATATATATATATATATATATATATATATATATATATATAACATCAGAATCGGATTACTGGTTACCTTTTTATGTCAGTGAGCATAAAAGTAAATTATGTATTACATGTTCTCTACTGATAAATGATCTCAGTAGTGAGACATTAAGTATATAGCAAAAATATTCATTCAGATATCTATAAAACACAACATAATCGAGCAAAGAATATTCTTTTCAATAAATTCCTCTTCTGGCTCTACAATTATATATATGTTTATATACACAGAATATTCAAGGTTGGTAGTTAATAACAATATTAGTGTTTTTTAAATAATATCGATTTGTAAAGCAAGATCAATGCAATTACAGTTCACTAAAAATACTTAAATTATAATAGTAATAAAGATATAATAGCGAGTAGGATATCAACTAAAATTAGGAAATTTTCAC